CAGGAACTGATTTGCATTGATTTTAAATTTATATGACACGTTATAGATACTAAATATTAAACAGCGTATTTTGTTTTTTTTAATGAAATGGCGAACAATCTTACTTCGGCTTATCTGTAAATAAGTGTCAACTGTCTATATGTATATAACAGCATAATGGGTATTATGTTATAAAATATAGCCCGTGGTAACACGCTATTCTGCAGAACTAACTATGCTGTCACTGCAGTAGCCAATAGTATAAATAAGTCATAAAATGTATTTAGGTCACGTTTACTAAAAATAATTTTCTATGTAACCGCAAAATGTCTTAAAATGCAAAGTCCTTAGCGCCCTCCAAGCAGTCTCGCCGTCTAGTAATTAACAACAGGCCCCGAGCTCGGTGGGGGGAAGTCGTCTAGAGAGCATTTCAGTACAGGGAGAGAGGTGCGGGGGTTGTGGATCATATCACCTGTGAATTAATCGGTCTCTGACGATTAATTAGCGCCACGTGTTTCGGGTAACGTGACTTGTGTTAGCACGGTGTTATATATTTATTTATACGTAGATATATCTGTATTATAAAAATATACTCATTGTTGGATTTGATCACGTTGCTTAAAAAGAATTAGAAATAAAATGTAATTATTTACATTTTATTACACATAAATATTACTTAAAAATAAATGAATAAATAGCCACTATACAACACACATACCACAAGAAGCAGAAAGAAGAAACTATATAAGCAGTGTTCGCGTTTTCGAGGAAAAAATGTTGTTGATAAAATTTACAATCAATATAAAAGACATGTTTGTTGAAAACAAAATAAAAATTGAAAATGTAGAATATATAAATCTATTAATTTTGCACTCAAAGTCTAATTCTAAATACGATCAAAGTATAAATAGATTATATTATCGTGCTTATGAAGTATACAAGTATTTTCTTTCTCTTTATCTATATATAAGATTTGGATATTTCATATATACCAATAAAGATAAGATTTGATTGTTTGTTTCTTTGCATTGAATTAGCTCGGAAACTACAATATCGATTTAAAAATATTTTACCATTAGAATCTTATTATAAACATTATCCCTGATGAACATAGTCGATAGAATTCGAAAACCTTAGGAATTTCTATGAAAATTCGGAAACTGCAGCAATTATAGACAGTAGAGCAAAGTAATGTAGAACTGTTTAATAGAGGACAGCATTATCAACAAATTAAAAAATATGAATAAAATAAAGAATAAATTTATATTTTGAATTATATATTTTTTATATTGTTGTGAAATATCTGTATAAAGCTAAGGCGGTTCGCCTGTATACTACATTGTAGTACAATATTGTTTTGATACAATTCTTTTCATACCTAAACATTACAAAATAATGTTAAATCTGTTAGATATAACTTAAACTTCGCAGTTACAATGACGAGGCAGAGAGGCCTGACCCATGAACTGCAAACCCAAATTAAACATCTTATGAACAGAAACATCTTGCCAAGATCCTCTTCATTAGGTTCTGCAAATTGCGGGGTAGGGGGTGAAGTCGGGAGAGGTGGGGCAGTGACACGGCGTTATGCCTCCCGCAGCCCTCGCAGCCCCAGCAGCCTCTATTAATAATGCAAATGAGACCGCAGCTCGGCCAAGAAGCGAGTCTCGATTAATTCCGGTTCATTTGAGGTAATTGTCGTGCGGTCTGTGGTCCGTTGCGGCCCATTGCTGCACGCCGCCGCCTCTAATTTCTAACACTTGTTATGGTTCCATGGGATTTTATAACTAATTACGTTAGTAGTTAGCCATAAAATATTAAACTTGAAACGCATTGCAAGGAATTATATATCGTAACTAACACTAATAACTTACATAACTAAATTAATGGTTTACACTTAAATATACGGTTAGATTATTTATTTGTATAGGATTTTCTATATCATCCTAAATATATAGTTAGCTAAGTATCTCTTACTAATAGTATTATAAAGAGTTTTGTGTTCACCGATTCCTAATGTATGAGCCAAAACCAGTAGTAATTTGCATAAAAGAATTATTATAATATTTTGAATTCATTTACAAATTGTATTATTATACGTAACAGTAATGTAGGATACCATTGGAAAAAATATAGATCAAATATAGATAATGGTATAAGTTTACTACTATTTTCTATTTTTATAAGTGTATTTAAGTAGCAAAATTTCATTATTAACTATCATAATGCATGCTCATGGTTCTTAGAGTTATAAACCGAGAAAGGAAATGAAAAATTATCACTGAACTATATATAAGATATTGCAAACCTTTATTTTATTCACAGTGAATCACAAAAATAATTAATTGGTATTTGATTTTCCAATAATGATTTTATATAAGCTGTAACGATGCAATAACTTCTTGTAATAGATAATGTAACGTACAAAATGAAAAGAAACGTTACATTGCCGCGGATACATGGCCGTAGCGAGCTACGATCGATACCTACGCTACGCGACAGGCCAGAGATAGCTACGAGTTTTTCTATCACACTTTACGAGTATGTTTCGAAGTACCTTCTCCAACAATCTATAGAATAATATATATGATTGAGAGTACTGCGATTTTATATACGTAGAGATGCACATGACTAAAATATGTATATTGCAATGGCTTAATGTAATTATCATATGTATAATATATAAAAATCATATTAATGAATGTAATCAGGAAAGAACAGTATAATCAGTATTTTTTTAAAAAAACGAACGACTACAACAATTTTATCTACAGAAATGTGAATATAGATTTGTCATGAAGGTACTCTCTTAGAATAATTAGCAAATTCACAAAAAGAAATGTAATAAGTTTATTTCAAAATCAATTCTTAATAATTTAGTGTCAAAAGTGTGTAAAATATTTCTATATATTTGTTTTTATACCGCGTTTCAAAATGCGGGATGGGCAGCATCTTCGAATTGAATAGGATAGAATAGAAAATCCTTTATCAAAATAAACTTAATTTAAGCACTTTTGAATAGTTATAACGACTTTTTATCTACCGCTCATTCGGAAAGCGTCTCATAACAAGAAAAATGAGCAAGAAACTTGTGTGTTGCTCTTTTAAATAAGCTTACATTTTCAAGTCGAAACGTGTGAATACATACTACCAACTAGCACTAATTTATTAGGGTCAAATATACATACACAATATACATACATAAATTAGTCGAAGTAATAAGAACGAATATAATTTAAAACTTTTGCTTCATCCACTTTTGACTGTTGATAGCTTGGTAGGTAGTGGCCTTATAGCTAGTAGTAACCACATTCAGATATTTGTGTAGTATTATGATATTTTTTGATCGCAATGTGTACAATTTAAAGATATCCCGGTGCGTAGTACTTTAAAATTTCGATTATCTTTGCCGATGTCCTGATATTTCTTTAAAAGATCATATTTCTTCTACGACCTATTACGACTATTATTACTATTACTATTAGGACCTTTTCCTATTCCATTTTATTATTATAAATTGTAAATAAATATATATTTCATGAAAATATAATGGTAGGTTAGAAATATTAGAAACTAATAATATTGACTGACCAGACCAAACTGATAAAAACGATTTGTTTTATTTTTATATTATTTTTGATAAATCAAAAACAAAATTCCCAAACTTTTTGTGTCGTAGACCCCTTGCCATATTTTTCGATAGACCCTCCATTCTTACCTGGTATTGATTTTTTTTTAAGTTTACAATTTCTAACTGTAGTAAAGTTTAGTGTTAAAAACATAAAGTAAAAGCAGTAAGATGACCGCTGTCGTAGATCCCTTGCAGTTTGTCGTAGGAGTCGATATAGACTACTTTGGGAATCACTGACGTAGGTCTATTACAGATACCTACGTCATTATTCATCAGAATTATTATGCCTATGGCAATTTTCGCCGTACGTAAAAAACAAATGAACATATGCATTTTCACATTTGTAGATAACATTCCTAATTTATACATATAATATAAATGTCGTATAAAATAATATATTTTTTATCCTAATGAATAATATACTAGATTTATGCTAGTCAATCAGCAGGTATTTTACAATATTACCGAAATACCGTTAACGTGTGTTACTGTTATATAAATGATAATTGCTAACTACTACTTATAAATTAATTGTAACAATTTTCAGTAACGTCACAATGTTTAGGTATAATCGAGTGATGTAGACGCCTATTTATTTCAATACCATATATATAGGAGGTAGGTATATATAAGAGGGCGCGACTACGAGAGGGGAGACAAAAATGGCCGCATACAATACTTGAGCATCTACGAAGAAAGCTCTATTTTGGAAGCAATATCGCTTCTATATTTAATTTTTTCTTCATAATAGAAATGCTATTTTTCTTTAGATATCAAAATTTTTATTTAGATATATAAAGAAAAATGTAGATTATTCAATTAATGTAAAAAATGTAGACTATTCAACAAACTGTTCCTAATAATTAATTGATTTTAGAAATGTTTGTTATTATTATCCTTGCCTTGTTTGTTGTTATTATTAAACTTACGTGACATATACTTTTGTGTGTAATATGATATTTTTACATTTTATCGTATCATTTCGATCGCATGTGCATCCTGCGATTATAAACACCAAAAAACAGGATACGAAAATAAAATAAATAATTAAATTAATATAGTTCGACATTGTAAAAAAGGGACTATTGGCCCTTAATCAAACTATTCGACTACTACATATATTAGACACAATATCTTTATGATTGATTGAGTATCCGTACATGTTTTTTTCCGTAGGGATTTAGGAATCAATTTCACCTTTGGAAAGTTCTGCCTTTTTCTACCTATTTTCTTTTACATTGAAGCTCTATTAATATAGTACAATTTCATACTTACTTTGTCTTAAGGGAAATGGGTTAGAAATAAATAAAATATATCGCAATACACCTGTTCGATTTCATTGTCATGTGTGTTTTTTAGAACGGTATAAAAGTAATTTTATTTTCAACAGCTGGACTACCTTACAAAGTGTACGGCAGCCATGAAGGTTCATTGACAGAAAAACGAAAACAGCGACGAATCCGCACCACCTTCACTTCTGCGCAACTCAAGGAGTTAGAGCGAGCTTTTCAAGAGACGCACTATCCTGACATTTATACTAGGGAAGAAATTGCTATGAAAATAGACCTAACAGAAGCGAGAGTACAGGTACGTAACTTATAAATTTATAATTTCAATACATTCGTTTCGAAACAAAATCGTAATTTGTGTAAGTTACATTATTACTGCACGATTACATAATTAAATTGTGAACGAAGAATATCAAGAAGACATTATTTAGAAGAAAAAATTACGCAGCATAAAATAGAGGCTCGACAAAAAAAATACATTGCTTTTCCTGCGCTGTCCGTCACATTTCCAGAGGCCAATTAATGTCTAGTAATTCGGCTGCGGCTGACGGGCTGCCTACGTAAAAAAAGCAAGCCGACATTTCGCGGTTAACTCTAGTTAATTTCATAATAAGCGCTCATTTTTATGTGAGTCGGGTGTAGGAGACGTGTGCTCCTTCTGAATGTTTAATGCAATCCAGAATCGGGAGTGAGCCGCGCCCGCCCTATAGTTATCTGATCACGTATAAAACCCAGAGGCGACGCGCGACCGGCGAACTGGCGACCCGACGACCTTATCTCATATTCTGGGAGATGACGCCCCCGGCGCAACCAGCGCTCTTATTGTTTCCAATGGAACAACATAGCACTTACATTATCATTCATCTTCATTTTTGGAATATATTTTTACCTAAATTATAACTTTGGACTGATATATGCTGGAAATAGTAAAATAAAAGTAAAAAATATACTAAAGGATTTAATATATTTTTGCTACTACCTTATGCAGGTATATTAATGACATCGAAGATCGATTGTAATGTGTGTGCAGAAGTGTACCCATATACTTACCTACCTATACTTTGTTGCGGTCTCACACCACCATATTTCCGATGGTTGCGGCTTCAATTCCTCGCACTAGACAAACATTTGTATTTATGAGTATGTCTGTATTCTATGTATGTATTTACAGAAAAAGTATTTTAGTATCTATCTATCAGTTGTCTAGGACTTAAAACCTGCCTGCCAAGTTCTGCCTGCCTCTGCCCGCTTAGCCTGGGAGTAGTGAATTGTCCTCGGTTATTATTAGTATTCCAATTTGAAGGCTGTAATAGGATAGTAAAATTATTGGGTACCGAGACTTCTATATGAAACTTATTTGTTTTAAGGACTTGAATTCATAGAAATGGTAATAGACAAAAGCTATCAAAGGAATTACAGAAGATATTGTGATGACCTGCTCATAAAGTCTATTGGGGAAGGTTATCAGTAAATATGATTAAATTAGGTCTGTAATCATATTTACATTTTACACTTAACTATCATTTTGTACCTACACCAAGTAAATATGTATACACATTGTGGATACATAACGTCGTATATATTTACATATATATCTGAAAAACATGGCACCCTCCTGCAACAACGAGCGCTCATTACGTTAAAAAGTGTATCGGAATGGCGGGGGCCGCCATAAATATCGCGAGCGGTCGCGTAACTCAAGCGCGCGCGACTCCTGATAATTAAAACTCGCCTGGAAAATACAAATTTACACGATACGATTAAAACAAAGCAAATGCATCGCGTATACCTGCTTGTATCTTGAGTTTACATTTAATTTTATTATAAGTATTGTTTTATAACTGAATGTAGTGTTACCAAATATATTTTATATCGACATATTAAAGTTTTACCATAGTGTTTCGGTTTCTAAATTAGGTTTAAATACTTTACAAATAAAACATATTAACAGAGCACTTATTACATAGTTAATATGATTTCAGTAAAAACATGCTATAGCAAAATAAATGTGAATACCTAAAACAAGACCATAAAGCATATTCTTAATCAAAAGGCTTGCAAACGGTATTAAAAATCATTTTTACTACGTAATTGAAGACACATCGCTACATAAAAGTAATTGAGTGAAAATACCTAGCCGTTAGCCCGCGGTGGGCGCGAGGAGGGTCCAACACTCCAACCACACTCGCTTTTCAATTATTAATATTCATTCCCCAAATTTTACTTTGCATTGCGATGGTGAATTTTCCTGTGTCGACGACGTGACTACACGGGAAAAATTAAAATCATTTGTAAATTTTTATGTAAGAACAACAAAAATGTTTATACGTCATCCATTTTTGGTGTGTAAGTTTTTTATTTATATTAACTAAAGTGAAATAATGCACGAAATTAAAACTACTTTTCTTTCATTCACTTCCTTAACTTTATTGTTAAATATACTTGTTGTGGAATTACATTATTTTATAGTAGAGTATCTTCAAGCTCCATCATTAAAACAATATATACAATAAAAAACATTACACTAACAAATATTTAATTTTCAGGTAATAATATCATATGGAAACAAATTCACGCCCTTTCAAGCTTATACAAAATAAATGTTGTAAAAAAGAAACATTTTATAGTTCGTAGGTACTGAAAGGAATCTCTCAATTTATTAGTAAATAAACTCAGTTAAACCAAATGATTCCAATATACTTAAAGTTAAAAAACATATAGAATAATTTATTTTGGAGCTATATTTTATATCTCATTAAAAAACAAATATTACCTGTAACAGAAAAACCTTAGCCAGAACCTGTTATATATATAATTATATGTATCATTTTCAGTAAAGAATTCCAGTCAAAGTTCAAAAATCCTTTAATATACATATACTAACGGTTTTTTTTTATTTTATCTACACGTAAATTCATTAGAGGCTCTTGGCAAACAGAGTAGGTACGATGTAAGCGTAAAGCAAACGCGCAATTCGTTCACATCATGTGAATAAAAACTCGGCCACCTGCTCGCTTAGAGCAAAAGGAATCATTTGAAAAATGACCAGCTGCTTTTTAATGCAGAGCGTATTTTTTCTGTGCCCACGTTGTCATAGGGATGGGGCAATTTAATCCATCAAGCCATGTAGCTCGAAACCATCCCAGCCAATAATTTCTGTTTTACTACAGAACATTTTGGTTTTATTGTTATTCCCATGTGGTAAAAAGATTAGTTTATTACAAAAATTATATTTAAAACAATAATACAAAATTCTTAACATATATTTGTCTATAGACAAAACTATAGACATTAAGATTATTAAGAATTCTTTATTCTATATATTATTATTCAAACTATTGGAACTGTCTCTAAATGCTATTTTTTACCGACTTTAAGTAGAAGAAGAGACTTAACTTAATTGAATAAACTATTCATGTGCCTTATAAGATAACTTTGATACTTTTACAAGTTTGGTAATATTTTTGTTGACACTGAAACTTATGTATCTCTGTAATATATTCGGCATTGTATGTGATATATGATATATCATTTTATCAACTATGTTTTTGCATAGTCCATTTGTTTAATTGTTTACGTTCACATTAATTTTTACCGCCCTAAAAATATTTGTTTCGTTTTTATTTTATTATCAATAGCATTGGTTTGTATTGGTCTTATACCTATAAATTCTAAGTCTAAGACTAGTTATTTAACCATTTATTGAGTCAGTTTAAGACGTATTCAATAATTTTGTCTAAAACTAATGTACATAGGCATATATCTCACATAAAATAACATGTATACATATCCACAATGGTGAGGTAGTGGGCACTCTGTATTATTGGTGCGATTGTAACGGTCACTTGTGACGTCACGGGAGACGGCACAATAGCCAACAGAAGCTCCCGAGGCTTGCAATAAAGATTGACGTGCCGGGCACCGCCGCCGCGCCGGGAGCTGCCAGCAAAATGTCAATCCAGCTTTCGATCTTACATCTTGCGCCTATACTCTCTGTGGGGATTTGCACTCTCTACTTCAATATATAATTGAATTAATTAATGTATAACGCAATCTGTATGGAGCAGTAGTCGCCCAGTGGCCATATTTTTTATTTTGAACGTTAGTATGGTTTTTGATAAAGAGTTTACTCGTACCTTTATATTCATAGTAGTTCTTTGTATTTTACTTCATCTACATGTTTATTATATATTATTTAACGAAAAATCTATATTATGTACGTTATTGTGTTGCTATGATTCAATAATTTCAAATTTCAATATGTTATGGTATGTTTTATACGTAATATGGAATTGGAAAAGAGCCCACGAAACGTGTACACACAACAAATGTTGTCAAATACAGAAATTAAATTACAAATAATTAAAACAATCTGAAATTTAATAATATTTATCTATTAAGTCTGAGATAAAAAACATATAACATAATCTGTTACTTATCTCAGAGACAAATTTAACATGATTTATGTCGCCACATTTTTGCAATTCTTAAATAATGTTGTGGCATCGAAAATGGATATGAATTACCCATATTTACAGTTTACTTAGAAATAATGTCTTAAAACGCATTAACTTAACATTAATAAATGAATGTTCATAAATATAGGGATGTTGGTTTTAATTAAATATATATCACTAAACCCATAGATAAGATAATATTACATACGAAAACATAAACTAACTGCCTTTGTAAAACAAATGAACTTCGTATGGTGTCAGATTTAAAAAAATACACGTATTTAAAATATTCTATTCAGGTAATTAAAAAAATATTTGGTTTGTAGCTTTATACCGTAAAACGTAAAAAAAAAATACGAGCTAAGTTTCTTGTCAGCTCTTCTCATCTCGAAATCATTCCGAACTGACGGTAGATTTGACATATCATATGAGTCTGTAATAAACCTACATGAATAAAAATATTTTGAATTTGAATTTGAATTCGTACTTAATGTACGGGTACATAATATACAAACGTACGTGATGTACGGGAACCATATAAAAGTATTTTTATGTTGTGGAATATATGTAGGAAACTTTATAATGAGAAACCCATTTAAAATTTAAAAAAGCATTCAACAAATCGGCATCGCTTCACTACACAGTTACAGCTCGAAACATTATTAGAAACTTTAACATTTACACCTATCATTTTAGTCTCTGAGATTAAAAAAAGACTATATTCGCTATAAAACTGTTCACTTTATTATATCGTCCAGTAATTTCAATTAAACAGATTACATGTCACATAATCAGATAAAATCTGTGATAAACAAACAATTATGAACTGGCTATTGTTGAG